ATGTCGTGGTCAGCTGTCAGCCCGCATCGGTCGTGACTGCGCCATGGACTGACTGACTCAGAAATCCGAAGGAATCGATGTTGCTTTTTGGCATGGCATTCCATATGAAATTTTTATTCCATTGCATATAATTCTGGAATTACAGCTTTCCCCGTTCGTGCGCGCCACGCACCTGGTTGGCAGCTCGCGTGGAATTCAGACTGCTCTGTGCCCCATTGGGACCCTTGTCGGCGTACGCCCAAGCTGAGTTTCTGCCTGGGTGTTCAGTTGACTACTCTGTGCTCCATTGGGACCCGTGTCAGCGTAGGCCCAAGCTGAGTTTCTGTCTGTGTCAAGTTTGTGTTCAAGCAAGGTCTAAATTACCTCGCATGCTCCCCAGAGGTGTCTATTCTTGTGAGAACTATGCTCCCGCTATGATTATTACCCCCTCCTCGTGTTGTTTTGGCCCTACAATATTTCTTGCTGGAATGCTACAAAAGGCAAGAAGATGGTAAAAATCATGCCTAGCTTATTTTCTCATCGTGTGCCTTTTGATCGGCATTATCGTTGCCATGCTGCCAGACATAACAATTTGATAAACGCTGCAAAAATAAAGAATACACATTTCTGTTCGTCAAAAATGTGAGCCAAGGCCAATGCGAAACACACATTTTGGGGGCAATTAGGTTGTCGGTCACCCAGCTCGGCCACCCAGTCATTACGATATGCTTTCTGTGCTCTTGTTGGGGTTCACTCGACCTGACTGCGTTTCAGCGAACACCCACCACTGAGGAGCGGGTATGACTTGAGTGTGTTCCGGCGAAGACCAACCTAACACCTGTACTCTGCGTTCCAGTGAGGAGCGGGCGTGACTTGAGGATGCTCGGGTGAAGATCCGCCGAGCATGCTGTGCTCTGTGTTCCAGTGCGGAGTGGGCGTGGCGTGACTGCCCCGTGCTCCGGTGACCACATGACTGACTAACGACTGCGCTCCGTGTTCGGCGAGTCCCCGCTAACCACGACCGCGCCCTGTGCTCGGTAGTGAGGAGGAGCGGCGGCCGGGCGGCAGGCCGGACCTGCTACTGGCCGCCGAGCGGCGTCTCTCGCAGCTGCAGCTCAGCTCGGAGGAGGTGTTCCGCGCCCTGCACGGCTCGCTCAGCGCCGTCACGCTGCGCCACGGCTGCAGCTCCGTGGCGCGCGTGGGCGGCCTCTGCACGTGCCAGGTAACCAGCTGGAGCCACGGCGACAGCACGTGGCGCGGCGTGTCCGACGGCGCCAAGATGGTGTGTCTGGACCTGCTGCCCGCGCCCGGCGCCGCCTGCACCGTCCTCTCGGCCGGCGTCAACCACGACTTCAGCTTCGAGGCCGGCATGACCGAGCTCGGCTGCGACGTCAGCGCCTTCGATCCGACCATGGGCGAGCCGAGCCGCCAGGTGGCGCCGCGGCTGCGGTTCTACGACGTCGGCGTCGGCGCGGCGGACGGCGCGGTGCGCTCGGCTCGCGGCGCCACCTTCCCCGTGCGCTCCCTCGCCGCTCTGCTGGAGCTGATCGGCGCCGCCGACGGCGTCGTCGACTACGTCAAGCTGGACGTGGAGAGCAGCGAGTGGGGCATGTTCGAGCGGCTGCTGGCGGCGGGCGGCGGCGCGCTCGGCCGCGTGCGCCAGCTGGCTGTCGAGCTGCACCTGCGCCAGTGGGAGGCGGAGCTGACCGGCCAGGGCGCCACGCCGCTGACGGAGGCGCGCGCGCGCCGCTGCCTGCGCGTGCTGTTCGGCCTCCAGCTGCTCGGCTTCCAGCTGGCCGGCAGTTTGCACGGCGAGAGCATGTGCGTACTGCGTCGGGACGACTTCTGCGTTTCGGCCGCGTACGAGACGCTGTGGGTGAACACCAATGTGTCCGGTGTCAGCTAGAGGCCTCCGTGGACCGGGTACACCCGCCTGTATCGACACTAAAGGGGTAAGTCCGCGGATTGGGCACGCACAGACGCTTGGAGGCGCCTGGGATCGAGGCTGGGCACCGGTGAGAGTCTTATAAAACACGGCTGTGAGTGCGGGTGCCAGCACGGGCATGAGAACGCACTGACAAATAAGTCAAGTTCAGTGACAGCTATGTGCCAGTGATTGTCCAAACAAAGCATTCACGGCGTATTTCACAGCATCGTGTTGTTTCCGAACGAATCACAGACAAATGCAGTGGATATCGCATAATTACCCAGCGGTGCAAACGCAGGTTGTGTTTCGCCCCAAAGCTCGTGGTATAGGCCAGCCCTCGCCTGCAGCGGCACTTGGACTTCCGAAGCAATACAACGATCGCCCTCCCACTGCTTACGTCTGTTGCAACTCTCCTAAAGGCCTTATCCCACATGGGAGCAATGGGCTGGGTAGGTCAAACGTGTTACATAAGTGTAGTTTCGTGAAGATGGCGGCACGACGCGTGCTTGGATCCGCAGAACTGCAGGATCCGAACACTAATCACTAATGATGCCCTCGTAATGTCCCATGGGTACGCAGTTCTCGCAACATATAGGCTGTCACAGAATATCAAAGTAATATAGACACAAACTTGCACCCTTACAAGCTCATCGGTCATATCCCCGCATACATTCAGCATTGCGAATCATTTACGACGTGTCTGGTATCTACCGCCCTATATCATGTGCGTTTATGAGCTGACACTGGATACGGCGGCGGACTTCATCGCCTGGATGCGGAAATGCGTTCAATTGCGGAAATGCATCCACCCTTTTATGTGCACCTCCTCAGCTTTTTCAAAATTCACCGGAGAATCACGTCCGGAGTCGGCTAAAATACAGCGTCACGTTCAGAGGCAAACAGGCTAACAGCGTGTCCCACAACGGCCCCATCGAACCACGGGCACAAGGCGGCGCCACCATTCGCTGTGACGCCCCACCAGGGCACAGCGCGCCTGGCCACGCCAGAGTAGCAGCGGACTCTCCGCCGCAGCCGGCCAGGGCCCGCTGTTGCTTTGGCGCTGACAGCGCTTGCTCGCCGACGTCACCGTCGCTCGCTCGCCGCCGTCAAAGCCGCTCACTTGCCGCCGTCGAAGCCGCTCACTCGCCGACGTCATCGCCGCTCACTCGCCGGCGCCATCTCCGCTTACTCGCCACGGTCATCACCGCTTATTTGTCGATATCATCACCGCTCACTCGCCGCCATCAAAGCCGCTCACTCGCCGCCATCAAAGCCGCTCACTCGCCGCCGTCACCGTCGTTCGCTCGCCGCGGTCACCGCCGCTCACTCGCCGACGTCATCGCCGCCTAATCGCCGATATCGTCGCAGCCCCCGGTGAGACAGCCGATCAGTTCGCACGGGTTGAAGCAGGAGAGGCAGGCGCACAGACCACAGCACATCGCCGCCTTACTCAGGCCGTCGTTGCTCTGGCGCCGCTCCTGGTAGCCGTACTGGAACAGACGCCGAAATGGACAGTGACGCCGACGCTTCGAGGCTCCAAACGCTTCTTCATTAGTACAGACTGCTGGCTCAAGGGCAAGCAGCACGAAACTAACAGCGAATGGAGTTTTCTTCCTAAATGTAAACCCATTAGCACGATGAATGAAAAGTGGGTACGGCTGTCTTTTTTTCGCCTGTTTGTTCGGAATTGTGGTTTACTTACGAGGGACTCAGCGGACATTGCGTTGGCGGTTATACTAACCATCAATCCTCTGCGCTAGCCGCCGGATCATTAGTTCGATTCCAGAGCTTTTGCAAGAGACAATCAACAGCACATGTGGCAGCAGTCTAGCTCCCACAGCATAGGTCTGGTCATGCCGGGACCTGCGGCCATCTCACCTGTCCAGGGAGCTGTCCCGGCGGATAGCCCTGTCCCGGGTACGGCTGCTGTCCGGGACCGTACACCTGCCCTGGGTACGGCTGACCCTGGGGGTAGCCCTGACCGGGGTAGCCCTGACCTTGGTACCCTTGGCCGGGGTATCCCTGGCCCGGGTAGCCCTGACCGGGGTAGCCCTGGCCAGCGGGGTACGGCGTCGGCGACTGGGCCGGGTACGGCTGACCCTGGAAGTGGGCGTACGGGTTGGGCGGGCCCACGCCGCTGGGCTGCGCCACGTATGGCGGCCCGCCGCCCGGCCCGGCGCCCTGCAGGTAGGCCGGCTGCTCGCCAGGCCAGTTGGGGTTGGTCGGCGGCTGCTGCTGGTAGACGCTGCTCATGTCGGGGCCGGGACAGCCTCACCACGCGCCCTGCGGACGGAGCGAGTACGTCACGGCGCGTACCGCCACCCAACATGGCAGAGCCATTCGCAACTTGTTCGAATCCCGTGCACTTCACTCGTCAGAAAGGTAGGATGAGAACTGCTTGGCAAACGTTTCATCGCAGATTTTGCGTCCAAATGCTGAAACAGGTGCGCATACGCTTGCAGGAAGCAATGAACACTGAGGTACCGTTACTTGTCTCCAGGCGCTGTTTTACAGTGTCTGTTCACATTATTCCACACAAAATGCAAAACCTAAAACCAATGCGAGCGTTGAGGCACTAGATGCAACGAGAAGCTGCCAGACTGCTAACACTTGGATTAAAGGGTGACTTTGTTACTTGGTAATTCAAGAGCTATTTTTAGACGAAACTGACCAAATTAGCACAGCTATATGAAAGAGCCTTCCGACATGCAGGATTAATAGACGATCATTCCGACCATTGTAGCTATATTTTCTTCCGATTCCTCTTCCCCACACCCACGTGAAAAAGTCAATGTGCTTCAAGGCACGGTCATATGCATTTCAGAAATGTGTCATGACAAGTGTGCCTGGAAAGAGCACACGTGCATAAAGTGCGACTGGTCGCGCGTACTTATTCGAGAGCAAATGTAAGCAAGACATACCATTCATGTAGCAATCAGCACGCACGCAAAAATTAATACGCACAAGATCGTGAACATATGTTCGCGATATATTAAGCACACAAGTGAACGCACTGTATCGTGGTACGCCTTCAGTACACAGCGCGCTACACCGACGCCACCCGCGACAGTAGCGCCACCTCACGACGGTGGCGCCGCTCCGCGACAGCGGCGCGCGGCGGAACCTAGACACGGTATCAGGGATCCGCTTCGACAGGCGAGCTCGGTTTAGGTTTGATTTTCTGTGTCAGCATGACTATCAAACCATCGTCAAGAGTCAGTGTCGTCGTCGACCACGGCGACGACATTCACTGGGCGCCTTCATAAAAATAGCTTTCGCCGCCCCTGAGAAGCCACTATTGCCACGAGGAAGCGGGGATCGTCGATTTCGGTGGCAAGGATTGCTGGACACCTTTGTCAAAGATTCTGAACAGCTGTGAACATTGTGGGGTGACCACGCCTGACAACGCAAGTCAAGTGCTCACCTACTTCCTTGGAGCACGATTCGTCGTGTGTTTGGATAACACGTCAGGTGGTACAGGATGACAAACACGGCACTTGTCTCGCTCTATAAACAGGCCGTGGCCAGACGTCGGCCGGTCCCATCGCAGCGTAAGCGGTCCTGGGAGTCACGTGCTCTGTTCTCTGGCCGGTCCGGGGACAGCTTGTGGCTCGGCTTAGCTGGTCGTGTCAGGGCCACAGGTATCACTTTGAGTTAAACCGACGGCGGAAGGTATTATAGATACATTAGAGGGATGGCGGGCACACTAAACTGATGAAATGCGTGCTCAGTATATCCTTTGCTGCATCCCTCCAGCACAAAATCCCAGTTCACTGACACACGGTACATATCATACTGTTTCCTTGGTCTTGGCTCGTCGCTAGTCGCTACACGGTTGTCCGAGGCACCTCCGACTCATCAGACCTCCCTCGCGTTATTCGGCCCCACTGAACCTTGGATATTTCGTAACGTGACTTAATGGTCAGCTGTTCTTCTGTTTGGAGTGTTCGGCATCTCTCTTCAACTCGCATCATTTTCACAGGGCCTGCCATTTTCCGCAGCGTTGGGTTGATACCGGGTGCATGACCTGTTTGGTTGCTTTCCCTCCTGATGCCTTAGAGCATAAATCTAAAAAAAGACGGTTCAGTAGCCCAGAACGGGATAACAAACTTCTACGCCTTGTTTAGCAGCACATTGTATACTTTCTTTTCACGTCAGTACCAACGCGGTCGTCCTACATTTTTTCTGTCTCCGTGCTGTTTTGAACACGTTCGCAAAGAAAGGCTGTAGCGTCAAAGCACGCCTCTATTTTCTTCCAGGGAGTCACGCGAGGAAACCTACCCGTAACCCGGCATGACCCTAAGTCTACATGACTTTGACCCGACGAGCTTCATACACGACGACGATATTCAAAGGCCGGGGAGCCATGCGATCAGGAGCACAGCAGCCCCCGAACTCCCATGAAGCTTCATCTGCGTCTTCCAGGTCTAGAGAAAGATGGCACAAACTTTTGCGTGAGTTACCGCGCCTCAAGTCATCTCGTTGAACCGTGAACGATCTGGAATATCGTTACCGAAGATCATTGCCGGCGGCGGCTGACCGGCCTGCGCGTGCGTGGATGGCGGAACGGGGAGAACTGCCGGAGGCGCCGAGTACACGTCCGGACGGACGGACGCGTCCGCGCCGAACGGTCACGAACGTGTCCGTAAATGTGACCCCGTGTGTGTGGGTAACGACGCATCGCGTTAGGGGGGTTAGACGTGGTGGACGGAGACCGGTGGATGCGACCAGCCGGCAACTGGAGGGGCGACGTGGGCGTGCTTCGGTTGTGAGCGGCGGCAGTTTCGCCTGGATTCGCCGCCATCCGGACTGGCAGAGCCTGCATCCGGTGGGCGCTCTCAACAGTAATGTAAGTAACTTCTGAGTTCTACGTCACATACCTGTGCCTCTGACACCATTAATCGCTGCGGCCGTTGAGGATGTTTACTGAATACAGGCAGCGTTAGTCGGAGCAGCGGTAAATCCAGACCGAGCTGCATCTGATCATGCTGCAACACGCGCGAGCGCGGGCAACCTCCGCTGGCGCTGGCAGCACGTGCCGTTTGTCCGTGTCCCTTCGTTACGCAAACAGATACCTTACCACTACAACGCAGCGCGCCACCATCCCCAGACGCTCGATGACACTCCAGGCCGTTCTTACGGTCATGGGAGACAAACGCCTGCCCTGCACTTACAGACATGTCTCTGTGTTTCACTGAAGGCACGTACACCAGAGGTTCTTATGGTTCAGTCAAGATGCACAGACATAGAGTCAGGCGCCTTATAAAGCATAGAACATCGAGACACCTACTTGGACCGAAAACACTCTGCGCTAAAACAGCATCGCCGCTCTCGCACATCTCACGTGCAAGCCTCCTCGCGCACTTCCAACGAACACTTAAAACGGGGAAAACTCAGCTCAGCTGAGCGTGTTTAAAAGCGCTGCAGGAGGTGCTGACACAGAGCCGAGTCTGCTGGCGGCAGTCTGTTCAGGACGCTGCGGCTCCGGATGGGACGCGTCGTCGCACGACAGCTGGGCCCGACGCGAGGCAGCTCGAGTACGGCTCGAGGCGAGCTCGAGTACGGCCACCCCCGGCGATGGGGCCCCGCGTCAGCTCACGCACACGGTGCCACGGAGGGCGAACGTGCTCCGTAGGGAGTCGGGGCAACAGAGACCAACTGTCAGTCCAACTGCCAAGTGGATGGCTTTTCATAGATGGTTGAAGCGGTGGTTGGGTAAATCAACCCAGACTGATGGACCAGCAGCTGGACTGGACACTGGGGCTGGGATAAAGACGTGAGTCTGGTCAAGGACTTGAGCATGCCTGCGTTAAGGTGAGACCGCATTTGGAAAACAAGATATAAGGATTGCGTTGGCACATCGAACTATCGACAAGATGAGAGGCACCTATCCCAGGGTGTCGCCAACGACAACGCCTTTACCGCTTTGCTGTAGTGTAAGGTGAAATGTCGACGTCATTTGCTCCTAAAACAAACTCTGATATCCTTTCAATTACCGTATGGTCCCAAGTAAAATGAAGCAAGTTTTTCAGTAAATATCAGATAGATGACAACAGGATAGCCTCCTGATAGTACATAGCATAACTGCTTGCTGTTGGAGACTTGCTAGCGTGGTAGACAATCGAAGATCAAAGAAAATTCGGGGCACGAATTTGTAGCTGTTCGCTCACAGTCATGCCACCGCTTCAGTCCAGCGTCGGCAGTAGCAGCACTGCGTCACCACCTTTTCCCTCGTCTTCTCTTTCCCTCTCCTGTCCCACCTGACGATAGCGGGCGAAAATTCGTGCCCCGACTCTTCTTCTGATTTTCGCTCGTCTATCTCATCTACTAGCCTCATCTATTTCGCTCATCATCTTATCTGCTAGCCTACAAGCCTCAAACAGCAAACGAGCCAGTGCTTTTATGGGTTAAGACCATCTATCTCATAGCTTTCCTTCAAATACAATGCCCTACATCGATATGACATTCGGAGAGCTTCGTTATTTCTTTCAACGTTCATTTCTAAACAGTCTTAGTTAACCATTTTGGTAAGCTCTGTATGTTTTTCCTGGCCTGGGAATTGAACACTTGGAATTAATTATGCTAACAGGGTACTGAGTCCGAAACTTGGGTGTCCTTCCCATGGGATGGGACAGGGTCGTGAGAAAGCAAGCATGATCTGACATAAACAAAGATGAGGAAGAAGGTTGGGTCGACGATAGACCCCTGAGGGATTCCGTGGGAGAGGGAAGTCCATAAGAGCCACCGCGTACAAATTGGGAGCAGCCGGAGAAATAGCTGCTGGCCTCGCGCGTTGAGTTATCATATCATAGTCTGATAAAGTTTATATAGTTTTTAGTTTATATAGTTTGATATAGCTTTTATAGTTGTCATATCATTCGAGTTTCATAGGAGGCATCGGGTGGTCGCGCCGTCGAACGCCTCGCCCAGGTCGATCGAAGTCCGTGACGCGACGTGACGTGCAACGACCTCCCGGAACGCCACTCAACAACGGCAGGGGGGGGGGGGGGCGTCTCCGGCGGTGTGGGACGGCCGTCGGTGCCAAGCCGCGAGCACACGACCACATCACGCATCTGTCAGAGGACTGGAAGGAACGGGGCGCGACAAAAGTTTCCGGGTTTGTTGGGATCGCTAGACTTGCGAATGAGTGCGACAATGACAGCTTTCGTGCTGAGGAAAGGAAATCTTAGATGAATCACATGTGGATGACACATAGGACAAGGTGCACGATATGAGGGCCAATGGTAGGGCGTCAGCTTCTGACGGCAATAATCGGATACAGTCAACTCCAGCGGCGCGCGACGCCCTCAGCCAGATGATGGTGTACAAAGATTCGCCCAAGGTGGCACAGAACCGCCCTGGTCGGAGCTCATGCACGCGCCGGCGACCAACTGCCAGCGGCCATGGCCGCCCACTCCGGCGACATCGGCGACAAGGAGCTAGAGGGTCGCGGAGTACGTGCGCGCTACAGGAGTATGGTGGGAACACGCGACACTCTCAGGGATATGGTAGATATCCGGCGCCCACAGGGGTATGGTGAGGCGCGCGGCGCTCTCAGGGGTATGGTGAGGCACGTGACATTCTCAGGGTATGGTGGGACACGTGGCGCTTCAGGGGTATGGTGAGGCACGTGACATTCTCAGGGTATGGTGGGACACGTGGCGCTCCAGGGGTATGGTGAGGCACGTGGCGCTCTCAGGGGTATGGTAAGGCACGTGACACTCTCAGGGGTATGGTGGGACACGTCGCGCTCTCAGGGATGTGATGGGTCACTGTGGCGCTCTCAGGGTATGGTGGAACACGTGGCGCTCTCAGGGTATGGTGGGACACGTGGTACTCTCAGGGGTATGGCAGAACACGTGGCACTCTCAGGGGTATGGCGGAACACGTGGCACTCTCAGGGTATGATGGGACACGTGGCACTCTCAGGGGTATGGTGAGGCACGTGGCGCTCTCAGGGGTATGGTGGGACATGTCGGCACTATCAGGGGTATGGCGGAACACGTGGCACTCTCAGGGGTATGGTGGGACACGTGGCACTCTCAGGGATATGGCGGAACACGTGGCACTCTCAGGGCATGATGGGACACGTGGCGCTCTCAGGGGTATAGTGAGGCACAGTGGCGCTCTCAGGGGTATGGTGGGACACGTGGCACTCTCAGGGGTATAGCGGAACACGTGGCACTCTCAGGGTATGATGGGACACGTGGCGCTCTCAGGGGTATGGCGGAACACGTGGCGCTCTCAGGCTATAAGTACCAATTCTTTGGGCGGTTGGAAAAATCTTGCCGGACACAACTTTGCTCTTAAACGAACTTTATGCTGTCATTGGCATACATGCCATTTAAGTTCACGATGCAAAACAAATATGCTTGACGGTAAAAATTCCGTTATCTCATTCATTTTGCCTCATGTCAGTTAACCTCGAACAACCCTAATGGAAAGTCACAAAGCAATGCATACACTTAACACCTTTCGAACCACTGAGCAAGAGCACCAAGGACAAGATCTACACGGCTGACTAAACCTGTTGACGACCCACAAATCAGTGTGCAAGCGATTGCACGCTCCGAACACATGGGCCGATCACCACCAAGGCGTATCGATCGCCACCAAGTCGCATCAAACGATCCGTATCGGTTGATGACGCGGCGTCGATGTGGAAGGTCTAAACTCCTCACACGTTAGCAAAGATGAAAACATTGAGCATAAATGATCCCTGATATGCCTCTTTTGACTATGGATATCCTTCCCAGAAACATGGGGACTAAGGCAGACGCGAAGCTACTAAAATCGCGTGCAAACGGTTCATGAATGACTTGACAACCAAACGTCATTCGCTTCCTTTCACTGCAAGCAACACCCCCGTTTTGTGTCCCCTAGTTAGGGGCCAAACAGACGTTATCCTCAACACAGCGTAAACAACAAGAGCGAGAATTCCGCATAGCATGAACAGTGTGCAAACGCGGTGAGAGAAAAACGACCAAAAATGTAAAACGTAATTTATGAATGAGCCCTTTGGTGACATGTATACGTTGCATACAGACATGGTGATCTTTTGGTGCGTATGGCTTTCCATCATAATTGACGATTTGTTTCTTCCACTCTTTCTTTTTGATTTGCTTTTCATCGCTTAAACGCATTAATAATGAGCACATAATAAATCATGCAAGGGAAGGGGCTCCGTAAATAGCGCAGTCCTGGGCAGCAGCCGCCCCCAACATACGCAGCTGCGCCCAGGCGCCTGGGTCAGTGCAGTCTCCCCACCCACCAGCTTACCTCGGTGCGTCTGATCCGCGGACCCCAGCCAGCGCCAGGACCCCGCCCGTGACCCGAGAGAGCTCGCGCGGCACCTGTCCGCAGCGGCGGCGGCGGCCCAGCTGTGCGCCCGGCTGGCCAGCCACACGCCGAGCATCGATCCGGCCAACTGGCCGGCCGCCATAAGCTGCTGTGACGTCACTGGGACGGTCAAGGCCGGCGCCGGAGTCGGGGAGGCCGGGCGGGCACGATAGCGTGTCATCGTCGCGACGAGTTGATAATCGCCATCGGTCGCGCTCGACGCGAGAGTGCGTTGCGGGCGCGCGCGCGGGCGCCGACGCCGCGGCCGTCCGCACGCTCTTGCGCGCGCCACCGCCGCCGATGAGCCATGCATACCGATCGTCCGTGTTTAGCGGACGCCACGCCAACCGAAGCACGGCCGGGTCATTCCGCTTAGTCGTTCCACCCACGCTCGGGGCTGCGTAGGACCATTCCGTGTTGTTACGTACCAGGGTGGGGGCGCCGACGGACCACGCTGTAGAGCCGACTGCTATGGCTGTGCAGGATGATATGTGGCGGTTCGCACGTGGCAGAAATGTACCGTTTATTGATACGCAACAAGTGTAGTTAATTTAGGAACGTCCAGATTTCACAATGGCATGTGAGGCAACAGACAGAGCCTGCTAGAGCTTGCCCTTTTCCTTCACCGGTGCTATATGTCGACATGCGACAGCAGAACCAGTGTTACGTGTGAGCAACCTATGTGAGCATTTTCATTTAGATGGCTTGCACAACACCGGCATGGGGATTCGTTTGTAAAGCACATCCCTGCTGATCACTTTGCTTATCCTATGCAAAAGTAATGATCACAAATAATCTAGGGCACGCATGCAATGCGAAGCAATCGTTCCGCATCCAGGCGATGCTTCAGCAACCTCTATGCTAGATCTCAGCTAGTTTGTGGAACACGACCGCATCATCGCAGCCATGAGTCGTGAGCTTTCGTGAGCTAGTTCGTGAGCTAGCTGGCATCCCACACCTTGTCGTAACGCAGACTTCCAACTTGCTACCCCTTACTACTTCTTGCAGCAGTTACACCGGCGACAAAACAGGGCGATGAGGCTGATGACCTGGCAGGATCCTCCGTAGCAGCAGCGGAGACAGCTGCAGCAGCACTGACCCCCTCTGCCGGCTGCGCCGCAGCAGCACCGGCGGCATGTCGATGCCACCTCCCATGCGCTCTGACCGGAACTCGTCTGAAGAGGCCGTGTTACGATCACTAATGACAGGGGATGGAGTCCGGGTTGACGATGACGCAGCGCCAGTCGAGATTAATTGGCAATTTGCAACCACCTCAGTCCAATACGCTTAACGCCGTTAGAGATACGAAGAATACGTGGGACTAAACATCAGGACTATTTTCGGAAGTCATGCAATACTAGGGCGGTTTTTACCAAAGTATGATCACTGACGATTGATAAAAACACAGATAGCTGTGAGCTCGAGCTTCCGTAGGGCTTTGAAAGGCCGCATACGGAGAAGCGGATCTTCCACTACCGGTCGGTTGACGAGATTATAGAAGACGACCATCCGGGGCGAAACAGACAGGTCTGGTATGAAGGAACACATATGTTCGAAACGAGATCATTATCCGGCTCAGAACTATGGCTTCATTCTTGACAGAGCTGTGTCCGTCGTCAAAGATGATGCAATTTATGGCGTTGCCCTATTTGGAAAATGGTGTGATCCCGGGACAGACATAAATGATACTGGCCCCAAAACCCCGTTCACAATCCAGGTCAAGACAGCAGCAACAAAAAAAAAACAACAAAAAAAACACTAGTCGACCAACTAACTTGCTCCTCAGAAGTTTGTCCAACGATGACAAAATCGTGTGTTTGAAGCTTGAATTGTCAGAAACCTTCAACGTCCAGATTTCACGTGGCCACGCGCCAAGCAACATTGCCTCGTTCTCAGTACCAAATGATAACTTCTTGACAACGGCCTGATAACTAAATGCCATTTATTTTAATAAGTCTGTCTGCTCAGTCGGACTGAGAACGATGCCTGTCAGACTTATTCTGATTCAGCTCTGCTGGTAATTTTATTTACTTCGGCAGATTTTCGCCGGTGGGATGAGACGATATTGCGGTGCTGCCGAAGTGACCTGCAGGCGGAGGAGCGGGGTGGCAGGGCACACCACCCCGCGGCCCTGCCCAGTGACCGGCGGTGACCGCCGGCCGGGGACGGGCGGCCTGAGGGGACCCTCACCTCCGGGCCGGGCTCCCCTCCCTCAGCGCCGCTCATGGCGAAGGAAGAAGGCTGGTCCTTGTCTAGATGTACTCCGGTGCTGTCCTCAGCTGGATGTCGTCCTGACTCCGGTCCCTTCGCTGTCTGTCTCAGTCCGACCTCTTCAGCTTCGATCGCATCAGCTCGACTGGATGAGACTCGCAATCCCAGAATTGGCCAAACAACTGCGGGCGAGGATTGCAGAAGGTGGCATCAAGTCACGGTTGAGTCGAAGTTGCGGAGATCACTGCAGGCAATCGCCTGGTGTGTTCACGTTTCCACCGGTGCTGTTGGCGACGGCGTCCCAAGGCTTCGCGAGCCAAACGTGTTCAACGCCTTACGTAAGCGCCAACGGCCTTCGTGGTCGTTTGCTCGTGGCTACAGCAATGCAAAACATTTTCGGCATGTTGGAATCTGTGTTTCTTATGGGCAGACTGCGCATTACGGAAACTCCAGTACATATTAAGGAGAGCCGCTCGATGCACCAACGGGCACAAGGTGTTTGCACCTTTTTGCGAGGGAAAAGAAAGGGGAAAAACTTCTCATTAGTCCTTCAATGACCAAATATGCTTTTCTTTTGGAGGGAGCGTGCAAGTAACACGTTGGTGCATGAATTATTTTCTTAATGTCAACGAACGAAGCACGCTTATGACGCATTCAAGTGACAAATTGGTTAATCTCTTCAACGGCAGTTGTGCCAAGATGCCACCGTGTGATCCCACTGGCAATCACCTTGAAATATTTAGATTGACGGCCCGCTAGAGGTCACCAGCAGGGGTCATCGCAGGACCCGACACCTACCGGTTAGCGGTCATCAGGTCACCGGTAAAGCACCGTCCGTCGGTCACGACCCCACCCCTCCTCCCCTGTCCTCCTCGTCAGCGGCCCGCGCTCGCTCCAGTGCGTGGTGTCCGGCCGTGCAGGATCGGGCGCGGCGCCGAGCAGGCTTGTTGGTGAGCAGTCTCCCCAGCGACCGGACGTCCGGGTCCCACACTAAACGAGAGGTCACACCCCCGCCCCGCCCCCCCCCCCCTCCTCCCTCCGGTCCTGGCGGGCCCTAATTATGCGGTATCAATCAGTAATGAGCCCATGCGCGAGGCGCTGCAGTCTGCCGAGAGTCTGGAGCGGACCTGTGCGATAGCCCCGGGGGCCAAGCGTGAACAATGTTTTTTTTTTCAAGTGACGCCCAAGATCGTCCCTGCCGCTTTCAGTACAAAACATGGGCTGAAGTGCTCGATCGCAGTTTTGCTGAGCTCATCGCTGATTGGTCGAAGGGGTGGGGGGGGGGGGCGACTTAGCATCACTTCGCAGACAGATATGTTAGCTGGCATTGAAGGATGACGATTAAACTATAACATGACCGGCGCAAGTGATCTTGGTGACTGGCAGAAGGTTGACAGGTAAATGATGATGGACAGCCAGTAACATTCCATCTCATTTCAAAGTGTGGTGCCTGTGAGATAGCGCTACTAGATGAAAACTGCTGTCACAGCTATGTGTCACATGAAGTCATGTAAGTGACCTCGCATGACCTGGAGCGTTCAGCGGTCAACGGGCCCCAATATAAGGCCTGGCGCAGCCTGCAGAGTGGAGTTTGGCCCAAAACCTATGAGTTACTAAGAACTTACATTAACTCGCCCGGGAAAGCGAGGACCACGGCAGGTGGGCATTGAAGTGTAAGTCTTCGGGAATGGCCCTATATCTCAGTGACTTGACATGCTGCGAGGCCAGAAATTGGTCTCAGGCTGTGAGGCAGCATTTTTCACCCACACGTTTAGGGCAGCGACGGGCATCCACACACCATTTTCCTCTTATGTCGGAAAAACTTGATGGAGGGGGTGATCTGTTCCCAATGTCGACTCGAACCTCCCCCGCCAAGGGTGGGTAAATTCCACAGACGGGCGCTCCAACCTAGGGAGCTGTCGCGACAGACCACCTTGATCGCAGGCCGATATGAATTACGTTATACCTTACATGATTTGACCCCTCGCAAGTCATTCAAAGACGTTCTGGCATCCTCATCTGATTTCAATTATCAGGGCATCCGCTGCCGTCCTTCCGCTTGACTCTGGACAACGCATTTTTCGCATTTTGTTTTTGTCAGCGACGTGCTTTTGCCGGTCCCTCTCCACGGGTAGCGAAACAGCGTGTTCCGTACATCTCTGAACCGTTTCAAAACCTATAGTTTATATCTCCTTGGCTAGATGGCAGGAAAGTACTAAGGAGACTCATCACAAGACAAATCCAACGCATGTTTGCATCGTGTTTGACGCAAATTTCTAATACGGTGCAAATACGCTGTCATCATACGCGTCTGTGCGAGGCCGCCGAAATTTCCTGTCTGTCGCTCCTGGTTGCGAACAGACGGGCGCCGGACTTTGGCCCAGTCATTGACTTTGTGCTGTTAGCTGGCGCGAAGACGTTCACTGAGTCGAGCGGTGCTGAATTCAGAGTTTCTGGTGATTGGAATTATTACGCGAGTCGTACCGGCAATGGAGCACTAAGCAGGAGTGGGAATGGCTTGACATTCCTTTCATTGTCAGCTGTACCCTGCGAATTTTTCATAGCTTATTCTATGGCGACAGTATTCAAGGAGCATTGCTCATATCAAGCTTGTGGTTTTTGTTTTGCAAGCAGCCTGACTTTTCCTGTAATTTTAACAAGGCACACATAATCCAAGCATTTCATTGGTGGCTTACTTCTGAAGGTGAGTTCACTGGTGTTTGTATTTAATGTTTGTGCTGATGTGTCATGGTTGTTTTAAAAAGAACATAATTTTATCAACAATTTTTCAGGTGAGGGATGTCAAGAGTACATCATTTTTTGTACTGTGGGTTCAGTCTAGTATTTTAGCTGCGTGGAGCGGGTAAGCATGGATGCATGGACAGATACTGACCTTAAGTAGTCAATGACAGCAAAGTGTGCCCATCAGTGGGGTTGGGATGTTTCATTTATGTTCAGGAGATGCTAGTTGTCCATATTTTGACATCTCGTGTTGACATTTTGTGTAGACAATGTCTTGTGTGGCATAGGTTTGCAGAATTAAATTAAAAAAACAGAAAAAACACTGGATTAAATCACCCAGTGGCACTTCTACATGAAGTAGTCAGGAGCTTGATAGGAGGGGTCTAACAGGTTAAGTGACCCCCAAAATTCTGTTCCTGGCAAGGCAGGGTGAGGCAGGGCAAATTATTGGTCAGGGACTATCTTTGAGGTATGATGACATTTTTGCCATGTTTCATGGTTTTTGTAATTATTTGATCTGTTATTCAATATTTTCATGAGCAGTGAACTATGCTCTGAATTAGTAAATGCTCCAAGAATGTTGACACTCCAGGAATTAAGTACAGTGTTAAGTACAGTTAAGGCCAGCTGTTGATGTAATTTCACATTTAAAATGGTATTTGCATCTTCTCTTCATGATAACTGATAAAGAGGTTCAGGAATCATGAAGAGATCATGCTGAACAAAGGGCTGATGCTGGAAGATAGTCATTTTCCATTGAACATCCAGAAGAAGAAAGAAATTCACCCATGGAGTAGTGGGTGTTTGCTCCACACCTAGAGAAAAAGGACTAGTTGCATGAAGTTACAGACATGCAGGCAGCTCCATGACAGGGCATCTGTCAAAGGAGCCAGAAGTGAGCTGAGGAATTTGACAAGGCATCTCTGAAGTAACTACAAGCATAAAGTTGTCCTGGACAAATAAAAAAATTATTGGATGTTAGAGTGAAGGTGAAGTCGGGAACTAGGGTCAGAGGAGCTGAATATGACAGGCAGAGCAAGGCCTGCGTAAACATGAAAAATTGATTTCTCTAACCAACTCTAGTACTGTTATTTTTTACTTCAGACACTCCACAGGCAGACTTTGTGCCTGGTAAGAGATTCACATGTGTCAATATACTTTGGAGTTTAATTTGTGGAGAGGTAAGATAACTTAAATACCATCAAGGCACCTGGATCAGATGACTACATCTTCTGCTCCCAAAAATCTAGCAATCACACTCAGCAAACCATTGAAGAGCTCATTCCAAAGATGCTTTGAAACTGGAAGGATGCCAGCAGAATTGAGAGAAGTTGGAGGGAGGAAGCTCTGGGTGGATAGGGGCTTTCAGCTGCAGCCCACAGGGGCTTCCCTAATGTGGTGCTGCTTCTAGCTGGCACCACAAAGCAAAGGGCTTTGTGGTGCCAACTACAAAGACATACTGGGAAGCATACTGCTCCCAAAAGATGGATCTCCTTCAGGTGCCATCAAAGGTTCTGTAAGGCTGGGCTGAAAACAGTAGCTTCCATTGAACACAGAGAAGTGCAAGCTGTTGTATGTGGGAAGCTTGGGCCAGGGGCTGATCCACCAGATGGGACATGATAAGGTCATCTCAGTGATGAGATTGTTTCAGTGAGCAATGAGAAGGACATTGAAGTTCTCACCAGCACTGACTCACATTTCATGAGCAAAATGCCACCCCTGGTAGGTGTGCCGACAGAGTCCTTGGACTCTTCAGGCTGGCCTTCGTGATGTTGGATGGCACTGCACTGCCCCCACTCTTCAAAACTAGGTCAACGCACATCTCAAGCATGCAAACTCAGTGGGGGGAGCCAGGTCAGGATGATGATCAGGATACCATAAAGGGGATGCAAGGAAAAGCCAAGCAACTTATTTGCCTCCTGTTGGTACCTTGGCCATCAATAAAGACTCAACACCCAAGAAACTTCAAAAGTCCCAAGTTTGTGGTACAGGGGATAGATCTTTATGGTTTTCTCATTTGTGGCAATCTTAGTTTTTCATGCTAGTTGTTGGCTGGTATGGCACATAGAGTAGGATGTGGGTCTGAAAGGGATAAGCCCTTTTCAATGCTGTGTCATGGTAATATTTCACAGCACTGAAAAGGGCCAATGGTTCAGAGGCCTGCTCTTCCCCTTGCTGTTGTAAGAGCTACCTTCGACACTTTATGAGATACAGGCCAACAGCCACCAAGAACACTTGAATAATGTCATACACTTCCATCCAACAGGCTCCATAAAACTCAATTTACTCATATCACTGTTTGTCTTATAATCCGGTAGGCTTCTTGTTTTGTCGCCATTGCTCCTGTTCTTCCTCTATTCATGTTCAGTTATCATAACTTATTTATTTATTTATTAATTACACGTCATGAGCTCACTCCACTCAGAATGTGGCTATTACAGAGCCTGTGTCATGGAAATAAAACGCTGTAGGTCAGGGAGGCTCGCGTAAACACGTACACACGCAGGCACCAATACGCAGAACGCACGCTCTCACATTCGCTAGTCATTTGAAGTAGGCGTCGCTATCCGTTATTGATTCGCCGCTGCAGGATATAACTACGCAACTCGCGTTTGAATTGTGGAAGGCTCAGCTCGCGAATATTCTACGGTAGTGCGTTGTAGGCGGTCACGGTAGAGTAAACAAAACGCCGCCTTCCCGATTCGGATCTGATCACCGGCACATGTAACATATCATCCCGCCTCGTTGTGCGATGGTGAACATGGCGTCTATGGATAAGGTGATCAGATAGCGACTCCGGCTGGGATCTTTCCAGGATGCGTTTCAGAAGTGTCAGTATATGATATAAGAACATGTTGTCAGCAGACATCCACTCGAGATCTTGTCAAACATTGCTCACATGATCATATTTCCGACGCCCAGAAATGACTCGTGCTGCAAAGTTCAGCAGCTTCCGCAGTCGTGATGTTTGAGTAGCCTTACATATTTCGTACACACAGATGCAGTAACGGATGAGTGAGATGACTAGACCCTGGACTAGAGTAATGAGTGTGGCCTGAGGCAGACTGTGCCGGCTGTGGCTGAGGCTGATAAGAACGCCAATGCATCACCGCACGAAGTCATCAGTGTGCGCAGTGAACGTCATGCGCTGGTCAAATACAACACCCAGGTTTCGAACGGAAGTAGAGCTGGCTACAGTGGCGCCCATAAATTTGATGCTAGTCGGTGGCAGGTTCCGAAAATTTTGACGCGTGCTGAGGACTACGAGCTGTGTTTTTGTGCGTTAATTTTCGTTCCGTTTTTGCTAAACCATTTGGACAGGTGTGAAAGATGTTGCTCCGTGGATGTTGATCAGCGTACCAATGTTCACCGGGCCTCCCACTCACTAAAACCTGCGCGTCGTCCGCGTACTGCACAATACACGCGTTATGAGCATACAGCGGCACATCATTAGCATGAATGCTGCACAGCAGCGGGCCGAGCGCGCAGCCATGGCAGGTTCCGATCGGGTTGTGCAATGCCGCGGACAGAGGGTAAGCGCCTACCTGGGTTCTGGACGAGAACCTGCTGAAAGTGGTTTTGGAGGTAACTCGCTAACCGACTTACATCAACATTGTACAGCTGGAGCCTTCTAAGGAGTCCATGATGTGGGATAGCATCAAAGTACTCGGATAGGTCCAGGAGGCATAACAAGGTGATTTCCCTTCGATCCATGGGCCTCAAAAACTTTGTCGGTTTACCGTGAGAAGCGCCGTGTCATTGGAGTGATGATCTAAAACCATGTTGACTAGACGAGAACAAGTGATGAGAGGTAAAATATGCAAACAGCTGCTCGTAAACCACACGTTCGGTAACCTTAGCGATAGTCGGTAAAATTGAGATATGCCTGTAATTAGAAACATCAGTGGATTTTGGCGTCTTTTGCATAGGGTGTACTATTGTCAGCTTCCACGAGTCGGGAGCTACATGGGCTGTCAGGCTGGAATTGACAACGTGGGCGATCACGGGACAAATGCACTGTGTCATACTTGTCATGCGTTGATATGGTGTGGTAGCTCCATGAGGTATCTGTGATCATGAACTGCCGTGCGTTATTGATAACGCTTTTGACTACGGTGCTCGGTCCGCCTGTAGCCCCTGCGCCGGGTTGTGCCGTGGCTGACCCGGATGACAGGTCCATGCCTGTTGCAGCCAGCTCTTCCCATCCACGATGAACGCGTCTCTGATGGCTTCGCTCAGCGTGGTGCTGACGTCAGCCGTCATTGGGAACGCCTTCTACCAGAAGAAGCAGTTCTACCCGTCTGTTGTCTATCTCACCAAATCAAACGCCAGTCTTGCGGTGAGTACGCCTCTTGCACGGTTTTCTCCGTGGGTCTGTGAAGTTGACACCGTGGCTCCTGTGGCAAAATGAGCTGGTGCACCTTATGTAACATAGCTGTGGGCAATTCAGATATACCACTACATTGTTGTCGTCGTGGCGTGGCTTATTAGCAGTAATGCTATCTATTTTCTGTGTTTTCGGAATCGTATGCACATTCACAAGAGTTCGGGACATTTTGTTCGTCCAGTCCAGCAACATTGCAGCCAGCAAACCGGGCGGGTTCTCTCGAAACATGGCTGGGAACGGTGCTGGCGCGGGCGTTGTCGTGTGCTCTGCCCTGGAGCGGATGTGAGGTTATAGCTGCGACGTCTTGTCCAAGTGTGCTGCACTTCGGGACCTCAGTCTTCGTGTTTACAGGTTATCTATGTCCAAGCTTTTGTACTGGTTATACTGTTCGGCAAGCTGGTCAGGAAGATATTCTTCGGTCAGCTCCGGGCCGCCGAATTCGAGGTTTGTACAGCCGGCGCATTTTGCATTATGTGCTGAACGACACTGGCTATTCCGAGGGCTATGGTCTGTAGCACAATAACCGAACATGTGTCAAAATGGAGGCCTTCTTAGGCGAACTTTTTGGACGTACTGTTTTTGACCGGACGCTATCATCTAGTTTCTCCCCCTCTTTTTGATGCTACTGCTCAGGGACTGGTAACCAAACAGGCGGTGCTGACATTGCTGGTGCCTAGAGCCGATGCCCCTGCTAAGTGCCTTGCCCCCGAGCGATGCCAGTGGCATGACTGGAGCGGCCGGCCGCGGCTGCGGCTGGACCGATCAGCGCCGTGTTCGTCCGACAGCACTTGATGGAGCGGTCCTGGTACGCCGTCACCGAGACCTGCCTGGCCTTCACCATGTTCAGGGACGACCTCAGCCCCAAGTTCGTGGCGCTCTTCACCCTGCTGCTCTTCCTCAAGTCGTTCCACTGGCTGGCCGAGGACCGGGTGGACTACGTAAGTGACGCTAGCGACGGAAGTCGCGATTTGCCTGTTTTTCACATGCAAAGTCGACAAAGCATAATGCAGGGTCAGTTTCATGATCAGCGTCCCTGTCGACCGTGACTTGCTCCCAAGACCGTGACTTGCTCCCAAGACCGTGACTTGCGCCCAAGACCGTGACCCAGCACCGCCACTAAAACATCCGCGATCCCACCGGATCCGGCCCCGGCCGCTGAGCCGACCAGCGCCGGCGGCTGTGACGTGCCGGGGCGCGTGGGGGCGCCGCGACCGCTGCCCGGCTGACCCCGCTCACCAGCCGCCGGGCGGCCGGTCTGATGACGTCAGCGCTGTGCCTTGGACGCGGGTCGGCGCGTCCGCCGCGGGTGCCGGTCCCGGGTCTGACGCTCTACCAAGGAGCCGACCGACACGGCCGGCCGGAGGTGGATTCGTGGCATTTTGCTGGCGTGTTGGGCAGCCATGCTGGCAAGTTGCCGTCGCGGGATTTCCAAATGGTTTCAGGTAGCGTCTCGCGGGATTTATGTGCTGACGCTGCAGAAACCGTGTAACCTGTAGCAGCATGCTGAGAAGGCGGGTAGTTTCTGATGTCAGCGGCCCATGGTACTCAGCTGCGTGGTCTGAGGAACGCTTCTCATTGCTGGCGGTGTAGATGGTGCGGACGAAGCGGTACGGGGTGGAAGACCACCCGCATCACATGACGCCTAAGGCTGCGACTACGATGCCCCTAACGCTGTATTTTGTCCTTTTCGCAACGCATTTCGCAACGCTATGGGACGGAGCGTTCTCGCTAAACTCTGCGTGGCACGCTTGTTTGTACGTTTTCTCGAGGGACGCACCATCGTTCAGTGAAGTTCAACGTGTTGTTGCAAAGGCGCTCCAGCAGCGCCCGGCCCCAGAGCAGAGTCGGTGCAGGCAGCGGCCACCGTTTGAGTGCTGGAGGGGGAGGGGCAGCTGGGGCGGCTGGAGCGGTCGCCCGCGCTCGTGCGCCGAGTCCCCGGTGCTAGCGGCGCTGCCGGACCGCCGTGCCGCCGAAGCCGCTGTCATCGACCGGGCGCACCGGGCGCCAGCGGCCGAAGCAGTTCTGTGCGTCGTAAAGTAAACATTAACATTGATCAAGGGACACTTTCATGGCACATGTGTGTTTGACTTGACGTGTTGTGGAATGCGATGCGCAGTTCTACGTGTGATGCTCGCCCAACCTGAACTTGTATCGCTCTGACAATGTCTTTCGTGAAATGGCCGAAATGGTCGGCTGTGGCTTAGGCAGGCAACCAAATCCACACTGTCTTCTTCCACAGATGGAGAGAAGTCCTGTGATTACCTGGCTATTCCATATCAGGATCGTTTGTAAGTGTGAGGATGACTTGTTGCTTGGGAATGGGCGTCGAAACATGTTACCTTTATCATGTGCTTTTTGCCATATCCAACTGTTTTCCGTCTTGGGGCTTCTTTTACACAGAACTTTCGATGCAACTCATTATAAAGCTGGTCGTAAACGCGAAGGCTCCACGAACTCACACCATGCGTATCAATAAGCTGTGCTCCCTCATTAATCTGGAAGCGATTTTCACGAGTCTCATTTCGCGTGATGGGCATGCGTCTCCAATACCACAGCGCCTTTGCATTTCTGACAAGGGGCGCATCTGTCGCTGGCATTCCCCACCCAGACCACGTCCCGCCGGCACCCCGACCACGTCCCGCCGGCGCCCTGCCCCGCCCCCTTGCGCCCTGCCCCGCCCCCTGGCGCCCTGACCTCGTCCCGCCGGCGCCCTGGCCCGCCCCGTCGGTGCCCTGACCCGCCCCGTCGGCGCCCTGACCCGTCCCGCTCGGCGCCTTGACCCGTCCCGCCGGCGCCCTGCCCCGCCCCGTCGGCGCCCTGCCCCACCCCGTCGGCGCCCTGACCCCGGCCCACTCGGCCGCCGCCAGCGCTGCTGCTGCTGCTGTCGCTGCTGGACATCGGCTTCATCGCGTTCGCGTACCACTCGACGGTGAAGCGCGGCGCCTCGGTGCAGCTGGTGTTCGGCTTCGAGTACGCCATCCTGCTGACGGTGGTGGCGTACGTGCTGGTCAAGTACCTGCTGCACGCCGTCGATCTGCAGCGCGAGGCGCCCTGGGAGAACAAGGCCGTCCACCTGCTGCATACGGAACTGCTCATCGGTGGGTGGCACGGAACGGTCGGGTCAGGTCGGGTCAGGTCAGGTCAGGTCAAGGGGTCAGGCGACTGGGAGGCTGCAAGAGTCAGAGTGGTGAATCAGCTTTTTCTGTTCAGGCAACTGTTATGCTGACGGTATTTCGTTTGTAACGGTTAATACAGGTTTTAAGACGGTGCTTTCCGACACCTGCCGTCGCTCCGCTGTGCTGATTCAGCGTGTCACTTCCGGACAGGGTTCGTGAAGGTGGTGCTGTACATGGTGTTCACGCTGATCATGGTGAAGATCCACACGCTGCCGCTGTTCGCCATCCGGCCCATGTACCTGGCGCTCAGGTGAGGCAGGCTGCCGGGGAAGAATTTCGGTGAGGATCTGTGGAGGTCAGATAAACTGACCCAGAGTGTACCGGGACATGACTGAGCCTCTTTTGTCTGTTCTCACTCTGTGACATGTTTTCTGAGCCTCATGGAGGTAAATCCGACCCCGGTAGTCACACGCGTGATTAGCACCACGAATTATGAAGCCGACAAATGACAGGTCCCCGGCTCATTAATATTTTTGACGTGAGACTAATCATCACGTCGAACGCCTGGCCAGGTCGTCCGCGTGCTGACGCTGTGTCCGACGCCCCAAGGTCATTCAAGAAGGCGCTCAGTGACGTCATATTGTCAAGACGCGCCATTCACAATATGAACACGCTGTACCCGAACGTCACCGAAGAGGAGCTGAGCAACACGGACAGCGTGTGCATCATCTGCCGCGAGGAGATGACCGCAGGTGGGTCTGCTGCTTGTGACATTACTGGGACCGAGGCCGTGTGTGCATCATCGACCGCGAGGAGATGACCCCAGGTGGGTCTGCTGTCTGTGACATTACTGGGACCGAGGCCGCGTGTGCGTCATCTGCCACGAGAAGTTGACCGTGGGTGGATCTGCTGCCTATGACGTCGCTGGTAGTGGGATCAGGTGGGCGTAATCCGCCGCAGGGACTTGGCCGCGGGGGAGGGGTTGTGACGTCAGCAGTATGCACGTCACAGACAATGCTACTGACACGTTGTCTGTGGCGCACTCACACCGAGACTTCTGGCTCCCATACGGTCGCCTGAGAATATGATGACATGTATGTGATTATGAATTTGTACCTCACATGGTTTCCTTACGTGTTAGTGTGCTGGCTTTTGGGCCTTTTGGGATTGAAGGCGCGGAATAATTAGTAGCCCGCGCTCCTCCGTTGTTAAAAAGGCATCTTGGGAGCGCTGCAGCCCCAAGGTCTCGTTGCCGGGAATCGGGAAGTTTTGGCTTGGGCGTCCTGGCCCGTCGCGCCAATGTTTTTAAGGGCTTGTGTCTGCGAGACCACTGATCTTACCGCTGTGAAGCTTAGCAGCTAGTGCTGCAATGCTTCGAGGGGTATTGTTGGGGTTATGTCACATCACATTAAGGTGCTCACATGCCATGTCTTTGATCAGGCAGATTCTGCCCACACCTTTGCATTGCCACTGCATTTTCATCGCCCCACGTCATCAACATGGGAAACGAAACAAGTGCGCGTTTTATGAATGCCAAGGAACACAGGCCCAAGCTACGTCCATATCTCGGCAGATCGAAGTGCTATCGACACGGGACCGACAGCTTCTGGCGGAGGAGAATGAGAGTGAAAGTGTGGACTGGGTGCGTGGAGGGACGCATGCGATCTGGGACAAACCGCGGCTCCACCCGTCTGGTGGGAAGGGCCTGTGAAACATCTCGGACGTCAGAACAAATGAGGACGTGGCAGCACCCTGATACTGTTGGTGAAGACCCGTCGACGGACCACTACGCGCGTTTCACTGCCCGGTCCGTAGCGAGGCTGGCGATGGACCAGGGACCGGGCGCTGTCGTGCGTTTGAAGCAGCGGTCCGAATGTCACGCGCTGGGGCCTGTTTGAGAGAGATTAGACTGATGCACAGACGTTTGGCCCAGCTTACCGGGCCAGTACGCGCCATAAAGAGGCGCCTTTCGCAATGGTTGGGGTCTAATAACTCAAAACGTTATGTATTGCAAATTTGTCTATGTTCGTAAAATGGACTGGCCCTGACAGGCCCAAAGTTAGCCAAGTTGCAAGCATTACCACTTGTAAGCACTCGTGAGAACTACTTCAGTGACCCCAGGTGGGTCTGCCCGATATGCTCATTGGGTGGGACGCATATGGGCCATGGCGTCTGGCGCACCCCAAAGTCCTCGATCAATATCGCCAGTGCTTTGCAGCACATGTTTCTATCGGCCCGCAAAGGCGGCTGGCTCCTCTCGCTCATATGCGTCTGATGATATCGCACCACTGCTCGACCGTCCAGCGAAATGCCAAGTACTGGTTTATCGCGGCCCGTTTTTCACCGCTATCGCGGCGGTTTACCGTGTCGAGCCAGTATTCAGCTGCTAGGGCCATATCAGCGGGTGCGCTCCGACCTGAAAAGGCGTGACGACGGCAGCTTGACGGAGACGATCGCGTGACAGCCGTGACGTTGTTACCAATTACGCGGCTGGTGCATCGCCGCACGACACAGGGGAAGATGGCGCCGAATAACACGAAATATTGCTCCGATGTAGATAATTGAGGGCTCAAGCTGATGCCAGGTCTTTTGTATGTACGTTTGACCCATACAACGCAGCGGCACCGCTAATCGCCGATACAGGGCCGATAGTGGTCACTGCCTGTCTACTGGCCGGCGGCCGTGGAGTGCGCGGTGCATGCGGTTGGTGCATTTGCACCCGTGTGCACCGGTGTGTGCCAGATCACCAGTAGCGTCACCGAGGCGCGCTTTCCAACTGGCTGAATTGCATTGGCTTTGTCCCGCCCTGCGTCCATGTCAGGGGAGCCGAGCGCCCCCACGCAATGACGTCCTCACCGTGATGTCACGTCACGTACCGTGTTGGGTGCCCCGTCGTGCTCGCTGGGAGCCGTTGTGTGATGACGTCACCGACGGCTGCCGCTGGCCTCGGGTCGAGGGGGCCGCAGACGTGTTTCTCTATCTGTCATTGTTATGAGCCTAAAAGGCCCTCAGCCGTCCTTGCGAGCTCAGTCACGGTGCCCGCGTGCGCCGGCGCGCGGTGTACTTTACACCGTGACGGGGCGCCGGCTGCGTCGGTCCCGCCCCGCCGGCTGGCGGCTATCAGTCGGCGGCGGGCGGCGCAGGGGCCGAGCACGCCCGGCTGGGGACGGCGGCGCACGTCCGCGCCCCCGACGCCGACCGTCCGGCCGGCCGGCCGGGATCAGCTGATCGCCGCCGCCGGTGCGAGCGACCTCAGGTGCTAGCGCCGCCGCCGCCGCCGCCTGTCACGGCGTGACGGGCCGGCGCGTGACGTGACGCGCTCGCCGCCCGCGCGCCGCTCACACGGCCTCCCCGCCCGCAGCGGCCGGTGCCAAGAAGCTGCCCTGCAACCACGTGTTCCACGCGCTCTGCCTGCGCTCGTGGTTCCAGCGGCAGCAGACGTGCCCCACGTGTCGGATGGACATCCTGCGCGCGCCCGGCGCCGGCCGCGGCCGCGCCGCCGCCGCCACCGCAGCCGCAGCCGGGTCAGCCGGGCCAGCCGCCCAACGGTAAGAGCGAGGCGCGGAGTGGCGCCGCTCGGGCCGGCGGTGACGCGCATGGCACGCGGCTGGTGTCGGATTTGACCCGGCGATGTGGGAGGCTGATGTTCGCGGTGCTGCGGCGGAGGGTGCAAGAGCCGCGGTATGAGCTCCTGCCCTGGCTAACTTCACCGCATTGTTCACACAGTGTGTGTTGGGGGGGGGGGGGGGGCGGCGGTTGATTCAGTGTGACCGCTGCTGGCCGTCGGGTGATGACGCCGCCAGCGGCAGATCGTGTTGCGAGAGAGCGGTCCGAGCGTGGTTGGTCCATGGTGCGTTGTACCCGATATTGCGGGCCGTCGGCGCACGGCGCACAACATGGGTGGGACGACGCGTCTGACAGCTGACTGTGTCGACTCGACAGGGGGGCGCCGCCGCCGGACCGCTGCCGCCGTTCGTGTGGCCGTTCCCGCCGCCGGCGCCGCCGCCGCCTGGAGCGGCCCCCGCCGCCGGCCCCGGCCCCGGTCCGCAGCCAGGTCAGTGGCGTCCGGCGCCGGAGATGGCGGACCTCGAGCCCTACGGTCATAGTCTCCTCCTCCTCCTCCTGCTCCTCAGCATGGCCGTCATCCTCATCAGCATCATATGGTGCTCGGAGCCGTGGATTCGGTCGCGCCCGTCGTCAGCGCTTCCCGCCGCACTGTCAGAATCACGAGCAGTCCGCGCCGTCTCCACACGGCCGACCCGTCTAAAGCTGTGATCAATAGTCAACAGCTTCGCCTCGTTCCGACCCGGTGATGGAAAGTTCCGCGTGTCGTATTTCGTCGACGACATTTCTTGGCGAGCTCTCGTCCTTGACAGCGCCGCTGTATCCCCCCCCCCCCCCCCGCTCCCCGTCATGCGCCGCGTCACCGACCACCCTACACCACCCATATTGGCTGGGCGGTGCTGACAGATATTGGATTAACGACGCGACCCGCCCTGACGCCCACTGGGGTCGGGGGGCGGCCGCAGGCACGTGCCGGGGCCTGCGACGCTGGGCCGCGACCGTCACAGTGTGGCGCCGTCCGGCTCGTGGCCGCGGGGCGTCAGTGCGTCTCCGTGAGCCGACCGTAGGCCGTCGCGGCGGCCGGCAGCGGCCGGGCGCCTGTCGACGGCGCGCGATTAGATCCGGTCACAGGTGGTGGGCGGGGCGGCGTCTGGCGGGCCGCTGCCGGCCGCCCGTCGGCGTGGAGCGTGTGCCGCGTGCTGCTGCGTTGGGAGTCCGCTCCTCTTCCGGGAGCCGGCACCGGCAGGCGAGGTGCGCTGTTGTGATCTCCGTCGTGAGTCGTGCCGCGTCGGACTGCTGATTCGCCGGCGTGAGGTCAAGGTCGTCCGGTGGGCGGTACGATACCGGCCAGGGTGCGCAGCCACAGGCGGCCGGATGTGTCGACAGGCGGCGTGGGATCCATGACGGCCGGAGCAGGCGGGGGGCGATCGCGTGGCCGGCGCTGGGTGATCGTTATTGCACGTCCGCCTGCTGCCGCGTCTCGGTGTTCGTGTTCTTTGGACCAAACGCTGCCACGTCCGCTGACCGTTTTCGAGCACTTCCCGCTTGCCCGGCTGGGGCGGTGGCGAGTGTGGTTTGTGTGGTGATGGCCGCCGTTCCCCGGCTCGCAGGCGTGGACGGTCGGTGCTCCTCTGCCGCCAGGTGCCGCCGGCGCACCGACCGCTCCGCTGCCTCCGCATCTTCCCACATTCCCGTTCAACCAGTTTATGAGTGAGTGGTGCGCGGCCCGACGGAGCACAGTTTGCTGCCTCCCCGGGTGTCGTGTCAGTGTTTGTGTGTGTCGCACTGGTAGCCGGAGCGTTCGTGTCGGTGGCCCGTCTGTGATCGCCAGACAGGTGCACGTTATGGTATAATTAGGGCCGTCGGGAGCCGCGGGTCCATGGTGTGACTGGCTGGTGCCACAGCACGGCCCAGTGCGTGCGATTATTGCATCGAATTGGAAATAAGGGGGATTCCGCGTAGGCGACGTCTGATACAGCTGGTCGGGGAAGGGGGGGGGGGGGAGCAGAGTGATCTGTGTTATGAGCCGTCAGTCGTCAAATGGCTCGACCATAGCTCACGCACGACTCTTCTGATCGGCAATTGCCATCATAACGACATACACCCACCGGCATTGCTTTGTAGCGACCAGCGCCGTTGACGCCCGTACGTTACCAACACCTTTCACATCGTCTTTCAACAACGTGCGAGCGGACGGGCGGGCCGGGGAGGCTGTACGTGTGCGTATGGATGGTGCTGTACCCACCCACAGTCACGGTCACGGACCGACATCACGGCCGTCTGTGGCGCGGCCGCGGTTCCCCCTCCGGCCTGCCACCGCCTCCGGTGACCGTGCCTCGCAGCGCGTATCCCATGCTGACGCCCCGTGACCGGCAGTGATGCCGCCGATGCCGCCGCCGCCGACCCGACCTCTCCGGCCTGACGGAGGCAGAGCTGCGCCAGCTCGAGCTGCAGGAGCGCGCCGGCCGTCGAGGCGCGCATCCGCTGCCTGCGAGACATCCGCACGCTGCTGGACGCGGCCAGTGCTCATGATGGACCAGTACCAGCGCGGCCGCCGCCGTCAGGTGGGCAGCGGCGCCGCGGCGCCAGGGAGATGCCGTCAGCCTGGGTCTGCGGCTGTGTCTGTGGTGTCTGGGCGCTGGTGACCGGGACGCCCCTCGCCGCAGCTGGCTCGTCGGTGGGAGCGCTCAGGTCGGAGCTTCGAGCACCGACGGAGGGGGCTGAACGGAGACCGCGACTGTTGCGGCGACGTGGGGCGGGACGAATCCCTTTGCTGTCCGCTCGGTGGTCGCCGGAAGAGTGACGTGGCCCCGTTGTCGGCAGCTCTGGGCCAGCGACTGCCTCTGCCGCCGCCGGCCGCTGCTGCTGCTGCTACCGGAGCCGCCACGACTGGAGGAGCCGCCGCGGCCGCCACCAGTCCGGCTAGCACTGCAACCGAGGCTGGCCGCCACGGGCGGAGCGTCAGCCGCCGCCGCGCCGCCGGCGCCGGGACCGACCGCCGCGGCCGAGGCGGCGGCGCCAGCCACTACTGAGGCCCCGGCCGCCGCGGCCGCCGAGACACCGGAGCAGGCGCGCCAGGCGGAGCTGCGCCGGCGGCGCGTGCAGCACTTCCGCGCGAGCAGAAGGAGGGACGCCGCTGTGACGCGCACCGGCGGGCGACCAGAGGCGGGCTGTGCGGCGGGGAGCGCCGGAGCGCACGAGAGTCAGGCTGGGTGGCGCGGCGCGTGCGACGCAGTCGGACCGTCACCTGACGGCCGGCGTGTTGTGTTGGTTCTCTAACAAGTATTGCCGGGTCGCGAGCCCCGGCGAGGCCGTCGTGTCCGCCTTGGCGCGGGCGGCGGCGCGGCGCCGGGGCGGGTTGTCGGTTTGTTGCCGGTGTGCACAGTTTTATTTATTGCTAGCCCGCGGCGCGGGCCCCGGCCGGGTGGGTGCGTGTTCTCCGGGTAGTTTGTGTGCCGCCGGTCCCTGGGAAGCCAGACGGAGGCGACCGTGGCCATCTCTGACCAATACACCGAACGTGCTAATGACCTGGGTGTGACGGCCAAACGAACGGCTCGCGACGCGGCGCTGTCGTGGGGCACGTGCCGGGAAGTGACGCGCACTGCTGTTAGAACACAAGTGACTACACGGCAACGTGCGGTCTGCTACTGCAAACGTCATAGCACCGTTGCGCGCGTCTGGGACGCTGCACCTTTGGTTCATCAAGACATGCACACATGGTCAGATGTTAAAATGTATATCATGATGATGACTAACCAGACAGACAGACGGCGTGTCTGGCAGCTCCTTGCACTGCTGCGGCAGAACATAACGCAACAATGATCGCTTGATAAGAAATGTTTGTTCTGAACGCCAGAAATACAAAGTTAACTGCGATCGAACAAATGACCAAGAAAGCGGCGGCATCGCAACAAAGTTACCGACAGAAAACGACCAGAATAAACAATTTGTTTTTTAGCACCATACTGCATGGCGAAATCTCTGAGGCTTAATCAGATGCAAAAATCAAAGCAGTCTTGTATGATTTTTGGACCGGTGCGCCACGCGCGCTGACCAAACCATTATTACGGTGCATGCTACGGTGCACATTGTGATGGTCCCGGGCGCCAGACGCAGTGTCAAAGCAAGGGATCCAGCAGGCGAGAAAAACTGTCGACTTCGCCAGTCTGCAACGATGCCAATGACAGGCTGCGGAGCCAGGCGCTCCCGCCGCCACCGGCCGCGGTGACAAATCGCTTGTAGAGCATGAGGCGAAGCGGTCTTAAAGTACGGTAGAAGAGGTAAAGCGCTATCTGTGATGCACATGGCGCAGGCTTCCATTCAAGGTGAGGATGAGTTGTACTGCGGACCGGCGGCCACCAGCAGCGCGGATCCGCCGAGACCAGGGGCGGACACACGTGCCATGTGACGTCACCACCAGCTGTCGATGCCGCCGCGTGCTGCGGTTGACGTCACACGCCTGTGCCGCCCGGAAACGGTGCTCGGAGGTCCCGCCGGAACACGCCAGCCGGTGCTCCTCACTGGCACGCCACCTGCCGCGCCCTGGGCAGCCTTCGGACCGGCCAGGTCCGTGCGTGGTCGCCGAACAGCAGCACGTGCGGCTTCTGTAATGGGGTCGACTGGCTGTCAGGGGCCTGACAGAGATGCAGGTGGCAGGGCAGCCAGCCAGCAGTGATCACATGGTGCAAGTAGCAGCACTCTGTGATGTGCTGCAGTATTACACTTGAATTTAACTGAAAAAATCAATGCTTGCAGATGGGCAAACAGTAAATATATACACAATATCATGTTTAAATACAACAACATCAGGTTATTTAAGCCACCTAAATTAGATGAAACCTCCTCTATTGCACCAAAAACCTCCAGCCCATATATAGCCATATGCACCATATGGCCTGACATTCTATACACAAACAAGTGAACACAATTACTATCCACTCATCTTGCTAAGTACAGCAAACATTTGATGACATGACCAAATGGCAATCACCACCATTATGACATGAGTACCAGGTGCTCTGAAATATCTTAAGAGCACCTAGCATCCTGGATACCAAGCTGCACACAGGCTGACTGGAACTTGGAGCATGGCTAGCATAGCTAGTCCAGCAGTAAGATGGTACAAGGATGCACCATGTTTTTTGAATGGTGCCTTGAATGTGAAGCAATATGGTCTGCTGCGTACAAAGTGTGTCTGGCAAACTGATGACCCTCAACAAATTAAGGACGCGTGCATATCACTGATGACTATGCAGACTCTGACATCTAATGGTACCTGGCAATAACAAAACATGAACTCAGATAGTACTCAAATAGATAGACTACTAGACTACTACTAGATAGACAATACTTACCAGGAAGGTGGACCATGTAGTGGATCCAGCCAGGTGACTGCTGCACACCCAAATTACGCCATTCAGTCTCTGTCATCAGATGTGTCATAGGCACATTTTTTGCAATGCTGGAGGGCAGCATCACATGCCTGAAAGACATGAGAGCAGGAGTAGCCATAATGCTACACATGGTCACTGATAGCTTTACAAGCACACAAGTCACAAGATTTAACACTTGAACTCCTATTTCATTATTTGAAATGTGACCTTTCTACTGTCCCCAGCCAAGGTAATTGTATGAAACATTGACATTGGCTTCATGACATTGCATGCAAGTAGCCAAGAAGTGTGGCACGAGTGACAGGGAGCATGAGCAATAATGCCGTGGGTACGCATGTAGATAAGGGAAGCAAAATCCGCTGGATATATAGCTACCTACCTGTACTCATATCTGTCATCCGTATACTTTTCTGAATACTGAATGGAATTGGAAGGCATTTTAAGAATTCGAGTTCTTCCACCTCACAAACACTTAACGGGATCCAGTCTCACACCCCCACAGCTGAGGCAATATCAAAACCCTGCTCCGAATCTTCGCACTGGACGGCAAAAGCCAGGCGGAGATCACAAATCGCGCGGTAAGTGCGCATGAAATTGAATTCGTCAAGCCGGGGCCGAGCTTCCCACAAAGCTACCAAATTTAGCATAGCCATCTTTCATTGGTTTTCACAAGCTTGAAATTATTAATATATTTTGCATGAACTGTTTCAAAGCAAAAATTCAGTTAAAAATCAAGATACATTGAAACAAAAATACTGTCCAGCCAACTAACTTTACACAACTATGGATTTGTATACCAAGTAATTTGGGTTATGAAAATGCTCCTTTAGATGTGGCAGCGTCTAACTCCGCACAAATTTTAAAACTGCCAACCAAGTTTGTATGTGGTAAATGGGCACGTAGCGAGGGTGTCGCTGAAGATTTGTGCTGCGGCTGTGGGTGGGTTGTTTGCTTTAGTGTTTTAATTTTATGCCACGTACTATGTGGCTGGTGAGCTTACTGTTCATTTACCACCAATAGGAAGAATAAACTTCAGTTTGACTTCTTTAGCGCACTGGAGTTGTGTACCTGGCTGTGATTTCGAAGACTACCGAGTTTCTGTCTCAGGTACATTACTGGGTAGTTGCCTGCCCACCAGGAAAGCCTTCTGGCCTTATACTTATGTTCCATTGGGTTGTTGATGTTTTTGTGTGAGTATTGTGTTCTTGTCATTTGGTTTGTACTCAGGTATCTAGGTACTCAGGCTTTGACCAGCCAGAATCAATAAGCATCTTCCCATCTTGGTGATGCTTCTCATTGTATAAGGTGGAGTTTGGGTGCACTCAAATATTGATAGATGTAATCAAATGAGTTGAGTCAAATGCAGGTGGATGAGCACATTACCAATGGGGCCTGGTATTTCTTACATGGCATACACTCACATTTTAGTTCCACCCTTTGTGTGTGCATACCATGATGTTTTGTTGCTAACAGTCATCCACATCTAGAATGCAAGTGACATGTGATAGGGGGTTGTGCCTCCAGTGACCCCTCCCCTTTAATACACCCTTGGTCTTAAGGGAACCTCTGCCCACTAAAAGCAACTCAGTGATCTGGGAACTGGCATGATACTGCTCTTGCCTCTGGGCAAGGTTCGCTACAGAGGTACAGGGGTAGCATGATACACATCCTATAACATTGCAGAATGTAATAATATGCTCAATGTGCCCATTTCCATTGCATGGATAAAACATCTATAGAAGCCATTTTGCCACCAGCTGCCAAATGGCAGTGGAACTCCTAGATCACTTTGATGTGTTCTCTTGAATTTGAATGCAGAGACAAGTGTTGTGGCTGGGAGTGGTTTTTCACTGTCTGTTTAGGACATACTCATTGCGCTGTCCTACCCATCAGCCACCTGCTGATCCCAGAATAAC